GCCTTAACATTTGCTCCAATTATAAGGCCACCCGACTGGAACTTACCATTCGAAATCATGTCTGATGCCAGTGATTATGCAGTCGGAGCTGTTCTTGGCCAACGCAAGGGGAGAGAAGTCTATGCCATTTACTACGCAAGTCATACTCTTGATGATGCACAACTCAATTATGAAACAACTGAAAAAGAGTTTCTTGCGGTAGTCTTTGCCATTGAGAAGTTCCGATCATATCTCATCGGAAGCAAAATTATTGTGTACACTGATCATGCTGCTATCAAATACCTCATGGCAAAAAAAGACTCCAAACCAAGGCTCCTAAGATGGATTCTTTTACTACAAGAATTTGATTTGGAGATCAAAGACCGAAAGGGGTCGGAAAATGTGGTTCCTGACCACTTATCAAGGTTGGAAATTTCCGAAGCAAAAACTATGTCGATCAATGATTACTTCATCGGAGAACAACTTATGCTGGCTAAAAGCATTGATCCATGGTTCGCTGACATAGCAAATTATCTTTCAAATGGAATAGTTCCAATCGGAGCAACTCATGCAGAAAAGAAGAAGTTGCAATATGAGTCTCGAACTTACATTTGGGAGGAACCATTCCTCTACAAAATTTGTGCTGATGGAGTCGTACGAAGATGTTTGCCCGAGGATGAAGTTACAAATGTCTTACATCACTGCCATTCTTCCGCCTACGGAGGACACCATGGTAGCTCCCGCACAGCAGCAAAGGTGTTACAATCTGGTTTCTTTTGGCCAACTCTTTTCAGGGATGCCAACACCTTTGTTAAAAGCTGCGACCGTTGTCAACGCACTGGAAACATCGGGATGAGAAATGAAATGCATCAAAGGGGAATTCTTGAAGTTGAAGTATTTGATGTATGGGGCCTTGATTTCATGGGCCCATTTCCGAAGTCAAATGGAAAGGAATTCATCCTCGTGGCTGTGGATTATGTATCAAAAAAGGTTGAAGCAATTGCCACGTCCACAAATGATTCAAAAGCGGTGATCAAATTTATTCGAGGGAACATTTTCTCTCGATTTAGTGTCTCAAGAGCAATCATCACCGACAATGGCACCCATTTTTGCAATAGAGCATTGGGACGAGTTCTTGCAAAGTACGGGGTTCATCACCGACTCTCTACCCCGTACCACCCGCAAACAAATGGCCAAGTCGAGCTCTCAAACAGAGAAATCAAAAGTATCCTTGAGAAGGTTGTTAATCCTTCAAGAAAGGATCGGTCTGACAAGCTTGACGATTCATTATGGGCATACCGCATGGCATTCAAAAATTCCATTGGCACCTCCCCATATCATCTTGTATTTGGGAAGGCATGTCATCTTTCTGTTGAGATGGAACACAGAACATTTTGGGCAGTTAAAAATCTCAACATGGATCTCTCATTGGCGGGTGAAAAGAGAATGTTGCACTTGAATGAGCTCGAGGAGTTCAGACTCGCAGCTTATGAAAATTCCAAAATCTACAATGAACGAACCAAACAACTGCATCACAAGGTAATCTCTAAATGAGATTTCGCACCAGGAGACCAGGTACTTCTTTATAACTCTCGCTTTAAATTATTCCCTGGTAAGCTGAGGACCCAGTGGTCCGGACCATTCGAGGTAGTGGAAGCATTTCCCTCCGAAGCTGTGCAACTTTGTAGCAAAGATAACGCCAAATTCATTGTAAATGGGCAACGTTTGAAGCGTTATCTTGCCAACGATCACCAAGAGGGAATGTTACTCTATTTCCTCGAAATGCCTGAATATAAGTGATTGCATTGGTCAAGCTAATGACCATAAATAAGCGCTTCTTGGGAGGCAACCCAAGTTTTCAAATTCTGATTTTATTTAATAAGGTAATTGAATTTCAATAAGGCATTTTCCAATTCACGCCATGTACAAAAAAATCAATTTACCAATTTTTTTTAGGAATTGTTTACTTAATTCTTCTTCATTTATTTTACACTGAGGACAGTGTAAATTTTACGTGTGGGGGAGTGGGTAGATAAAACTTGATTTTTTGTGTGTATTTTCAAATTAAAAAAATAAAAAAAATATTTTTTATTTTTGTTTTGTTTTTGTGTGTTTGTGTTGAATGATGAACAGTCTTGATCCAAAAAGCAAAATTGAACTTACAAATTCTTTGTTTATATGTCTTGTTAATGTTTATATACATAATCTTGTAAATTACAAAATCATCTCTTTTGACGGAATGTGGTATGAGTTTGAGAGTTGTTTCATTATAACATCTTGGAAATAACTGTGTCTTTGCATTGAGTTAATTTCTGTTAGTAATTTAACATAGAATACCATAGAGTTTTTCCAATTTATTGGTTTACTAGCTAAACTTAGTTATAACTTTTATAGACCATGATGTTTCACATTTGTTCTCCATGAAATGATATTTTAATTTGACACATTTAGACATGATATAGGCCATCTTTGTTTAACCTTTCAAACCAAGCCTACCCAATTCAAAAAAAATCCCTAGTCGTTCCCTTTTGAGCCTTTTTCTGTAAATAAGTGTTACCACTTATCCCTTTTTTTTCTTATTACCCTGTAAATATTTAACCCTAAACTATTTTGCCAAAATAAATTATCTCTTCACCCTAGAGTAGATTGTCTTATTTTTTGAGAAGGAACTTTAAAAAAAATTAATAATTGGAGCACTGTGTATTTTTATAAATAATTGAGTATGTCATTTTTTTCTTTTGTATCAAAGTTGTACATTCTTTGTCTTTGTAAAGATAATAACAACTTAGTGTGCCTTCAAAAAAAAAGAATAAAAAAAAGTAAAAAAAAAGCAAAAAAAAAATATAAAAAAAAAAGTTGAAAAAAAAGAAGAAGCACACTAATCTTGAACTCTTTAGATTTTTAGACTTTATTCTTCTTGGGCATAAAAAGTAATTAAATAAAAAAATGCCCATACCATTTACTGTATTCTTTGTAAAATAATTTTCATTTTTCATTTTCGAGTCATTTGTTTACCTTGCTCCATAGTTACATTTGTAATAATTTTTGAGTTCCTGATCAAAATAAGTATAATCTATCTCTTTTTGTTTGTCCTTTATACCCTTTCTTTGTTTGCCCACTTATCATTAGCCCCGTTACAAGCCGAATAAAAGTCCTAATTGATCTTTTTGTGTCACTTTTAAAATAATTAGACTGGAGAAACTTGGTTTATATTAGTTTAACTAGTTTAGCACTATAGGTATTTGTGTTAGAGTATTAACATGAAAGTTTCTAGGATAGGCAATATTACTCAAGTTACTCTCATTTTATTATTTTGTGACAATTCATGGGTCTTGGATAGTTCGGTGGACAAAAGAGATAATTGTGTGATTTCTAAAATTATGTATGTAAATTCTAACAGGACATGTAAAGATTGTATTTGTAGTTTATTTTGCTTGAGGACAAGCAAAAGCCTAAGTGTGGGAGAGTTGATATGCACATATTTTATACACTTTTTAGACTTATTTTGTAGGAGTTTTGAGTCCCAATTGAATTAGGTCCCGTTTGGTACATGGAATTCAAATTATGGAATTGGAATTGGGGACTTCAATTCCAATAATGGTGTTTGGCAGCACAAAAATTATGTGGATTTGGAATTGATATTGTAAAAAATGAATTGAAATTGATAGAATTCAATTCTCTTCCATTGAATCCCATGAAATTTCAATTCTAATTCAATTCCAATTCCACCAATTCCTTATACCAAACGGACCCTTAATGTTTACATTTTATGTCAATTTTCCGTTTTATTTTGGTAGAGCGGTCATATGCTTGGTTTATATGTTTTGCAGGTATTTTGAGATCATTTGGACGTATTGAGAACAATTTCTAGAACGGAAGATAACATGGAAGTTTGGGACCAAAAAAAATGGAAGAGATTTGAAGAAAAGAAAGAAATAAATCTAAAAAATGAAAAGATTAAAGCTGGGATTCAAACATTGGACTTCGGGGTATGGATGAGCAGCTTGGACCATCGCGCCACAGCTGATTATTCGGCAGGTCACTGGCGGACACGGAATATGTTCTTAATTTAAATTCAACCATGAATGGAGAGAAAAATGACAAAACACTGACATTGGATGGGGAATCAAACACGGAAACAAGTGGCAAGACAAACAGCCTCAATTCCATGTGGGCTACTGTAGCTTTGTTTACATTTTTTGGACTGTTCGTATATACTCCGTATATACGAATTTATCTATAAAATCCACTTCCTTCTCTTCTTCTAGGAGGTTGGAACCCCCATTTTTTCTCCACTCTCTCCATTTCGAAATTCTCTTCCTCCCTCACTAATATCCCACCACTTTTTTCATCCAAACACATAAAAATTTCTCCATCTTCATCATCATCTATTATATTTGGTGCTCAAGAACACACCTTCCATTTTGTAAGATTTTTATGTCTGTAATAAATATTTATTTGTTTAAGCTTCAAACTATGAACTTCTAAATTCCATTGGGGTTAGAAGTTTGTGTAAATAATTCTCCATCTTAATGTTTTAAATATTTTTAACATGGATTGTTGATTTTTTTTACTTGGATGTTGTATTTAAAAATAAATAAATTTAGAATGTTTGTGATTTTTAATTAAGGGCCCAATCATAAACATAATTGTTAAAAGGAATTTGAGCTAAAATTGAAATAATCATAAAATAGAACATTTTTTTAATTACACTGTAAGCCTACTCTACCTTTGACCAGGATTGAAGACTTTCGGGTGGACATAATTATTGAGTTGTATTTTTACACCATTAAATTGGGTAAATATATAATAAAATAATTATGGTTGCCGTTGTTACTAAATAATTACTCCGGATTTATGATTAGCGTGTTAAAGTCGGAGTGGTTATTATTTAGGTGAACTGCGAGAACGTCCCTAAATACTTTTCTACAACCCCACACATTCTATATAAAAATAAATTAACAATCCAACTTTTATAAAAACATTGGACAATTAATTTACCCATTTCTACCCCTAACTTTTCATCATCAAAAACTTTATGTTGTTTGAAACTCTCTCTTTTTACACTTTTTATTTTATCTCTAAAACCAAAAAGTCCAAAAAAATATTTTACAACTTCTTTTGTAAACTTTTGTCAAAATTAAATTAACTCACGTCTCCCTGAGGTTCGACACCCTACTTACAAGGGTTCTTTTTAGTTGTTAGTTTTGCCCATTCTATACTGCAAATCAGTCAGTCAGCACTTCCACCGGGTGAGCTTGGAAGTAGGATGTTAACTTCTTGGCGGAGATGAAAAGAGCATACGCAGTCTTTTCCATCGCCGTATATCTACTTTCTGCCCCGTTTAGTGCTTTGCTCACATAATAAATGGGCTTTTGTGCCCCATCATCTCTTATTAAAACGGAGCTTACAGCATTTGGGGAAATCCCTAAGTACAGATACAAAGTTTCACCCGGTTCGGGTTTTGACAATACAATGTCTGACACTAGGTATTCTTTCAGCTCCTCGAATTCCATCTGGCAGTCTTCGTCCCATACAAATGTGTTGGCCTTCTTCAAGACTTTGAAGAAGGGCAGGGATCTCTCAGCTGACCGGGAAAGAAACCGGCTGAGGGCCACTAGACGACTGGTCAACTTTTGCACGTCCCTAACTGAGGTAGGGGCTTGCATTTCGGTGATAGCCCGAATTTTCTCTGGATTGGGCTCTATACCTCTCTTGGTTACCATGAATCCTAAGAACTTCCCGGTATGAACCGCGAAGACGCATTTCTTAGGATTCAACCGGAGGTTGTATCTTGCCATGATATCGAATGTGGCACGCATGTCAGCCGGGTGGTTGAGAAATACCTTGCTTTTGATCAGCATGTCGTCGACGTCTCCATGGTCTTTCCCAACAGTGGCTTGAAAAGTTTGTTTACCATGCGCTGGTAAGTGGCCCTAGAGTTCTTCAAGCCAAACGCCATTACCCAGTAACAGTAAGTTCCTTCGGGTGTGAGGAATGACGTCTTCTCTTCATCTTCCTTGGCCATGTAAATTTGGTGGTAGCCTTTGAAGGCATCCATGAAACTTTGGAGTTCGCACCCCGCAGTTTCGTCCACCATTTGATCTGGACTGGGAAGGGGGTATGAATCCATCAGACAAGCCTTGTTTAAGTCCTTGTAATCCACACACATCCTCCACGTGTCCAAGGACTACGTTGGCCAACCAATCCAGATACTTGACTTCCCGGATATGACCAACACTGAGGAGGTCCTTTACCTCCTTTCGGACGAAGTCTCACCGGTCGCTGGCCAGATACCTCTTCTTCTGGCGTACCGGTTGACTTCCATCCCTCACTGCCAGCCAGTGGCAGATGATTGAGCGGTCAATTCCAGGCATATCTACCAGGCTCCACGCAAATATGCCCGCGTACTCTTGGAGGACACGTGTAATCTCCGCCTTGAGATCTTCTGGGAGATTTGCTCCAATCCTGACCATCATTGAAGAATCACCCGGGTGAAGTTCAATCTCCACCGTCTTGGCCTCGGGCTCAAGTTTTTCCCAGGTCTCTCCCTTTGTGATTTCTTGAGAGATGACATTGACCCCCTTGGTAATCTTCTTGACTGCCCGAGCATAGCACTCCCGGGCATTCCTCTAGTCGCCTTTCACCTCACCCACACCATCTAGAGTGTGAAACTTCATGCACAGATGAGGCATGGAAATTACCGCCTGACATTATTGATGCCCGGTCTTCCAAGTATTGCGTTATGGACGCATTTGATGTCCACAACGATAAACCGCATCATCTTCCATACGGTTTTTTCACCCGATCCTAGTTCGACCGGTAGAACTATGGATCCTTCAGCTTCCATTGTATCTTCTGTGAAGCCTGAGAGAGGGGTTTTAAGGGGTTCAAGTTGTGTCCGACACAACCTGAGTTTTTGGAAAGTTTCTAGGTACAGAATGTTGACACTGCTACTGGTGTCAACTAATACCCGGGCGACGTCCACCCCATTAATGTCCATGGTGATAACCAAAGGATCATTATGATCTTCTGTTGGGAAAAATATTATAGATTTTGATGATGATGTATTTAGATTGTAATAGGGACTTTAGGTCTCCCCCAATATTCAATGTAATTTTTTCTTTTTAGAAATATTGTTAAAACCGAGTTCTTGAGATATCCAATAAATTTGTGATATTTCACTTTGTGGTTTGATGTCAATGGTTGAAGACTTAATCAAATTCAGTGATATGGAAATTGGACATCTTGATCGGAAATGTCAGAGACAAGTAAGGAATTCTCAAAGCTATTGAAGATTCTCTAATCCGGAACACTACATGATAACCGGATGTCTCGCTACCACCCGCTGAAGGCTAAGTCATCCGAATCGGAAGACTAGCGCGGATCTCTTCTCACCTGGAAGTCTATGAATGACTTTTCCGGATTTGTCAGCAAAGAACCGGATGCCTCAAAGAAAGACCGGAATTCTCAAAAGCAGACAAGTGAGAAAAAGACTTAGAAAATTATCTAAGTCTTGAATGAAGAAATTCTACCCGTTGGTAAGGAAAAATCAATCTCTTGATTTTCAACGGCCAGAATTCTTGAACAACTGCTAGAAGACGGATTCTATAGAAAAAGGAATCCCTCCTCACACAATTGGGTATGTCCAAAACACCCATTCCAATAAGGAATCTTCAATCACAATCTTCATTCAAAATTGAAGCCAGCAAATGCAACGGATAGTCTATTTTGATTCAACGGATAGATCACCCAATCCAGCTATAAATAGCATCCTTGGAAGACTGGAAGAAGAGAGGAAACAACGAAGCAATCTCAAACTACAAAGCTATCACATTCACAGTTAGCCCAAAAAGCTTGATAAAGAGAGATTTCTAAACTCCTTATCCAGAAGCAAACTTCTCCTCCTTCCAAAGAGCTATAGTGTAAACACTTGAAGGTTTCCTTGCCTCAAGTACCACACCACGTTGAAGGATATAACTTTTAATCAAACTTCTTGATTAAAAAGGGGGTACATCAACTTTCTTACAAGTTGATCTTGCAAGTCCTATTGTTCGGATCTTGCAGTTGTTGAAAAAGCGTTACCTTCGAAGAAACAACAAAGCCAGCACGAGTGCAGTAGCAACATTGGCCTTGCGAAGATATACCGTGCAAAAATTCACACAAGTGTAATTGTTGGTTCATTATTCAACAACCAACTACATAGTGGATTTTGA